TACTGCCTAAATTAGTTCACTCTGGAGCCCTCCTTCCTGAGCTGAGACAAAAATGTGTGAGCTGGAGGCTAAGAAACTGAGAGCTAACTCAGCTTAGAGGGAACACTGGTCCCAACCCATAGGATGGGAAACACTGGCCTAGAGCACTCGACAGAGAGAGGTCTTTCATAACATCTGCAATGTTCCCTCTAAGCTGTGGAGTCTTGTGAGCAAAAATTCTACTTAGTGAGCTGCTGGCATTAAAGTTGTGAGCAAGTGATTTGGCTGCTGCATAAATCAGTTTGCTCCGGAGCCATCCTTCCTGAGCTAAGACAAAAATGTGTGAGCCGGAGGCTAAAAAACAGTGAGCTAGCTCACACTAACTCAGCTTAGAGGGAACACTGTCTGCAACCTAGAATCAGTTCAACAGAAGACTGAACCTGGGACCTTCTGCGTGCTCTGCCAATGAATCACAGCCCCTTTCTTCTGAAAAGAGGGAAAAAATGCCTGCTATGTTTTCCCACTGATAGCTGTGACGTATGCACATGGGGTAGTTCCTATAGGGCGAGCAGTGTTGTCGCAAGCAGTGCAGGAGACGACGCTGGATCCTATCAAACGCCTTGTCGGCATCTAGAGTCAGAAGAGGGGGTTTTCCTTTTGCCTTAGAGATTGTATTGCAAGTCTGTCCCATTAATTGTTTGCAAGGAGGAAATCCATCGGGACAGCCAGCATGGTGTAGTGGGTACAGTGTCAGATTAGGACCAGAGAGATCCCCAGGTTCAAATCCCCACTCCGCCGGAGAAACTTGCTTGGGTAACCTTGGGCCAGTCACCCCATGGGACAGTTGTGAGAATAAAGCGGAGAACAGGAGGAGGATGTTGGCCATTTTGTACCCCTACCAGGGGGCGGGGAAAAAAAGAAGCAGGGTATAAACCAAACAAATCATGGTCTTTCCATTGTCTTATCTGGGGGATAGGTCTAACTGAACCTTCCAGACAGTGAGGCTTCCAAGCTTTGCAAGAAATGCTGTTTTGACAAAGATCTAGCTGGCGGCAGCAGTATCCCAGTTATTAAAGAGTTTATGAAGGCATTCATCTAAGGAATTGGTTTACAAACAAAATATTGTTTCCCCCAGAATTCCAAGGGTAGGCCAGAAGATTTGTTGTCCTTGCTAATCTGCTGAACTCAGCTGTGAAGCTGTTATTTGTCTGTGGGCTAGCCATTGCTCTGGTCCATAATGACCCTTAAATGGCTTCTTTGCTTTGAGGTGCCTGTGCCGAGAGCATTGTAGAGCACAGGGCTATTTTTGGGCAGGAACGCACAGGAACGGAGTTCCGGCTGGCTCCCGAGTTGGCCGCGCCCAGCAGGAACTCATTAGCATAATAGGCCACACCCAACAGCAGAAACTCATTAGGATTGGCTACATTAGGGGTGTGTGGCCTAACATGCAAAGGAGTTTCTGCTACAAAAAAAGGCCCTGGGTTTTGACAACAAACAAGGTAAACAGAATAACAAGCAAAAGGTGGGTGTGGCTGGATGACCACACTTCTGGTAACACGGGGGGGTGGCCTAATATGCTAATGAACTTTGCTGTCATGGGTGTGGCCTAATATGCTAATGAGTTCCTGCTGTTGGGTATGGCCTATAATGCTAATGAGTTCCTGCTGGGCTTTTTCTACAAAAAAAGCCCTGGTAGAGTATATCCTGCAGAGGTACTGTTAGCCTCATCAGCCTGGGTGGGAAACTGCCCATTGTCTGGCTAAATAAAAGGAAGGAGACTCGCTTTGCTGATGCTTAAGCTGTCGTGAAGTTTGGTCTCCGGCCTACCAATATGGCTGGTTTAAAGAACGGAAGGATTTTTGTGCTTTAGCAGCGTCCACAAGATCTAACTGTTTCCTAAGGATAACTGTGCACCTATTTCGTCAGAACTTGATTGACGGTGCTTTAAGTCAGAAAATAGCTGAGCTGTGCTTGAGCTTTTGCGGTGAGTAATCTTGTTGACCATCTGATGCTTTTCTGTTGCACAAGGGAAGTAGCCGGGCTGGTTGTTCTCTCGAAAACAATTATTTAAATCTGTTCGAAGTTTGGTCTGCAAAAAGATTTATTGTGCCAGTGCAATGGATTTAGTTTCTAGGGAAACGAGGGGTGAAAGGGTCTCAAGCTGCTCCTTAATTTGCCCTTTGATAGTTGCTTGGTCCAGCCACTGACACTGAGTTATGGCCTGCTTGTTAGAAAGTGGTGTTAAAGGAGGAGGAGGAGGAGGAGATTGGCTTTATACCTCGCCCTTCACTTCCCCGAAGGAGTCTCAGAGCATCTTACAATCTCCTTCCCCTTCTCCTCCCCACAGACACGACAATCTCCTTCCCCTTCTCCTCCCCATCCTCCCTCTAAACTGTGGAGTCTTGTGAGCAAAAATTCTACTCTGTGAGCTCCTGGCATTAAAGTAGTGAGGGAGCGATTGGGCTACTGTATAAATTAGTTTGCTCCGGAACCCTCCTTCCTGTGCTAAGACAAAAATGTGTGAGCCGGAGGCTAAAAAACTGTGCGCTAGCTCACACTTAGAGGGAACACTGCCTGTGAGGTACATGGGGCTGAGAGAGCTCTTTCAAGAACTGCTCATGAGAGCTGTGAAGGAACTTGTAACTGACCTGAGGTCACACAGCTGCATGTGGAGTAGTGGGGAATCAAACCCGGTTCTCCCAGATTAGAGTCCATGCTTCTAACCACTACTCCAAACTGGCTCCCAGATGAACTCTAATCTGGAATAGATGTTGTATCCAATGGGTTGGTACACTTGATCCTTGACTCTGGGGCAACAGTCCATAGATAAATTAGATATAAGTTCAATAGACATGAAGATAATGTTTTACCACCAAAGTGTGTCTGTTGAACCATGTCTGGCCCCAGGGTAAAATTCGATCTAGATCACAACGCTAGACTCCGCCAAGAATGAAGAATGGGTACCGGAGGAGGTTAGGATCTAAAAAGTATCAATATCGTATCCAGTGAAATTTCCTTTTGGATCATCAATGAAGTATGAGAAGTAGGTCTGGGAACACTGAAGCATTGGTCAAAATAAGCTATCCTAAGTAAATTGATCTTGCTTTAATTCCCAGTGGTGTAAATGCAGCAATTAATTTTGGGCTTTAAGGCTTAGCTCTAAAATGCTTGGATTGCCTCTTCCATCAACCAACTCTAGACTTGGGGCTGGCCCAGGGAACCATCCTCCAAGAACCAGTCTTTGCAAAACTTCCAGCTGGTAGGAACCTGGGGAGCACTTTTTTTAGCATTTGTCACCCGAGTTTGGAACTTCCTCAGGGGTCGAGAACAACCCCTTCCCTATTGGCCTTCCAGGTGGGTTTGCAGACCCACCTTTTCCAGATAGCTTTTGAATTAGGACAATAAGAATTGCTGAGGCAGAAGGAGGGGTGCTATTGTATGTTGACAGACCCCTGGTCTAGTACTTGTTTTAAAAACTGTTGGCTATTCTCTCCCTCTAACAGTTCCTGGAACTCCCTTAATTTCAGGTCACTCTTCCTCACATGGTTGTCAGCATCATTCACCTGAGCCTGTAACATCGCTCTCGCTCTCTCCCTCTCTCTCTGTTCTTTATGAGCCTCTGCCCTCTTCATCCTTCCACTTCCTTATGGATTGACATCGCTCTCTCTCTCTCGCTCTCTCTCTCTGTTCTTTATGAGCCTCTGCCCTCTTCATCCTTCCACTTCCTTATGGATTGATTCTCAGTTTGCCTCCACAAGTCTACATTTTGCACAAGTCTGATGCAGGGGGCACTTCCTTATTCAAATCTCCTTTGAAATACAGGCCTCGGGGAAGCCCTGCGAACTGAAGCTGGTGGCATCAGAACCAGTGTTTGGACCGGCCGTCACTGTATGTCACCTTGCATGGCCCAGTCCCCAGATGTTGTATCCAATGGATTGGTACACTTGATCCTTGTCTCTGGGGCAACAGTCCATAGATAAATTAGATATAACCTTGCATGGCCCAGTCCCCAGATGTTGTATCCAATGGATTGGTACACTTGATCCTTGTCTCTGGGGCAACAGTCCATAGATAAATTAGATATAAGTTCATTAGACATGAAGATAATGTTTTACCACCAAAGTGTGTCTGTTGAACCATGTCTGGCCCCAGGGTAAAATTCGATCTAGATCACAACGCTAGACTCCGCCAAGAATGAAGAATGGGTACCAGAGGAGGTTAGGATCTAAAAAATATCAATATCGTGTCCAGAGAAATTTCCTTTTGGAGCATCAATGAAATATGAGAAGTAGGTCTGGGAACACTGAAGCACTGGTCAAAATAAGCTGATCTTGTTTTGATTTCCAGTGGTGTAAATGCAGCAATTAATTTTACTAACAGTTAATTTTACTTTACTAACAGTTAATTTTAATTTTACTAACAGCGTGGGGATGTGTCATTTGGGGTGGTCCAAAGATTATTTTGGGGGGCAGCCTGGCTCCAGTGTCTGCTTGTGTGATTGTCCTGGGGGCACTGCACTTTAGAGCAGCTGGCACCAGAACCGCGCTTTGGACCAGCACACAGAATGTATCCCCTCGAAGGGGAGAGTCCTGTGAATGTGGGGATATATGATACGTGGTGGTCCAGACCTTATTTTGGGGTTCAGAGCTTTCCAACTCACTCTCCACAGTGTTTCTGACTACACGAATAAATAACGAATAAGGAATGAATAAGGAAGTGCAAATAAGGAACCAACTTCAGCCTCCTAGCAGCAGCCCCTGCATGGAGAAGAATACAGACCACTTATGAGAAAATGGAGGAAGTAAAACCTTGTGGGAGGGAAGTGGGAATTTGGTGGGAGAATTGTTTGTGTGGGGGGGGGGCGGGAAGGACTGATGAGAGATGCAGCTGGCAGAAGGTGGGTTCTCATATCTCTGCGAGGTTTCATTTCAGCTTTTTGCTTGCAGGTTGTTGGCCGGTTTCAATCCAAGAGTTTCGGATGAAACGGAAGAAAGGCTTCGCTTTCATACCTCAGACAACAGGGCCGAGAGAGCAGATACATCAGGATAAACGGAAAACAAGGCTGGAGAGAGGTGGACAGCAAGCCTTGGAGAATCAAGGTAAAAAAGGAGGGGGGCTTTAGTGACATTATAATACATTTACTAATTGTCAGGTGCTGTAAACAGAACAAATGTGGTTCCCCTGACCACCCGCTTGCAGGAGATTCAAGATATGAAAACAGGAAGGGGTGAGGGAATGAGACTCTAAAGGCAAAGGTAAGGTGTCGTTAGGTGGAGGGAGTAACATCTACGGAAACCTAAGAACATGGGTTGCGGTTGTTTTGGGAGAACTCTCTGAGGCACCCTGGAAGTGGTTTTAAGCATTTAAAGCAATGTTCCCTCTAAGCTGTGGGGTCTTGTGAGCAAAAATTCTACTTTGTGAGCTACTAGCATTAAAGTTGTGAGCGAGCAGTTTGGCTGCTGCACGAATTAGTTTGCTCTGGAGCCATCCTTCCTGAGCTAACACAAACATCTGTGAGCTGGAGGCTAGAAAACTGTGAGCTAGCTCAAACTAACTCAGCTTAGAGGGGACACTGATTGAGAACCAGATTTGCTGGGACATTTTTAAAGGGTGTGTGTGTGTCTGTATGTGCGTGTGTGTGCATGCACATGCAAGTGTGTGAATAACAGATCAATGTTCTCTGAAGAATCGGAATAGCTTAAGAGTACCTTGGAACAAGGATGGATTCCAGGATGGAAATGAAGATATGAGGAAGGGCTAGAAACAGAGGGTGGTAATATGGGGGCAGAAACCAAAAGGAGGAGGAGGAGAGATTGGAAGTGTCGAGGATGATAAGAGTGGGTACAACATAACCCATTGCTCACGGGCTTCCCACTTGCCCAAGCCTAGAGAAGGTCCAGAAGAAGGGCTGTGCTGTCTCCTATCCATGCTAAGGATGCTTCCATGCTAACCACCAAGCCTGGAACAGACATTCATTTATGTCCTGGAAATCCTGCTGTGGAGCTGCGACCGACTGATGGTGACCCCAGCAACAGATTTTCAAGACAAGTGAGAAGCAGAAGTGGTTTGACACTGCTTTCCTCTGCAGAGCCTTCCTTGGTGGTCTCCCTTCCAAATACCGGCCCTGCTTAGCTTCCTATATCTGACAAGATTTATTTATTTATTAATTATTAAATTTATACCCCGCCCTCCCCAGAGCGGGCTCAGGGCGGCTAACAGAAGAGGCACGTATGCCAAGGTTAAAACAGTTAAAAAGAGAATACAACAATCTTAAACAATACAATAAAGTGCGAGTGCTCTGGTTGTCACAAATCCGTAAATCACAAGATGGGGTTCTGGAAGGATAGACCCAGAACAAGAAGATTGGGCTGTACCATGCCGCTTTCCCTAGACATTCGTCTACCGAGTGTCTTTGGAGAATCCAGAGGATGTTGTGTGGCCCAGCTTGTTGCAACAGACCCTGATTTTCCGGAAGAGTATCCTCTGCATGTTGATCACACTTGACTCCAGGGGTCGTTTCGTAGAAAAAGAGCTAGGGGAACTCATTAGCATAACTCATTAGAATATGCCACACCCCGTGACATCACCGGAAGTGTGTCATAAGGCCACACACCCCGCCCCCAACGGTCCCGGCCGCCGCCGGCCTTGCAGCTCCACTGCCGAGCCCCATGAGGGGTCCGGCGGTGGACCTGCAAGGCCGGCGGGAGTGCAAGGAAGCCCCGCGAAGGCCCTCCCTGGCCCCAGGCAGGCAGGGGTGGGGAGAGGCGGGGAGGAAGCAACTTACCCTCCCTCTTCTCCTGCCTCCTCCTGGCTGAGTGAGGGCCGGAAGCGGGGTGGCCGGAAGCAGGGGGCGGGGCTTCGTCATGTGCCCCGCCCCCCGTATCTCACCCGGGGGAACTGTGTTCCCCCGCGTTCCCCCCCGAAATGACCTCTGCTTGACTCTAAATCTCTAAATTGTCCAGCATGGGGGACAAGATCCAGCTTTGTGGCATAGATGCCGCAAAGCAGAGCAGGACTCCCCCACTCTGCCTTCTGTCGTCAGCCAGCCAGATAGGGGACCACAAGTGCAGGGTGTCCCCCAAACATCCGTGGCGATCAGTTGATCCAGAAGGACATCACAGTCAGTGGTATCAAAAGCAGCCAAGAGGTCTAGGTCCCATCCAGTGTTCCCTCTAAGCTGAGTTAGTGTGACCTAGCTCACAGTTTTCTAGCCTCTGGCTCACACGTGTTTGTCTCGGCTCAGGAAGGATGGCCGCAGAGCAAACTCATTTGCGCAGCAGCCAAATCGCTCGCTCACAACTTTAATGCCAGCAGCTCACAAAGTAGAATTTTTTCTCACAAGACTCCACAGCTTAGAGGGAGTGTTGGTCCCATCCAGTTTGGGAAACTCCTGGAGATTTGGGGTTGGAGCCTGGGCAGGGCAGCGTTTGGGGAGAGGAAGGACCTCACCAGGGTATAATGCCATAGAGTCCGCCTGCCAAAACAGCTGTTTCCTGTAGGCAAACTGACCGCTGTATTCTGGAGTTAGTTGTAATTTTGGTAGATATTCAAGCGCCACCTGGAAATTGGCAACTAGTGTTGCCAACTCTGGTTTGGGGAATCCCTGGAGATTTGGGGGGGGTGGCGTCTAGGGAGAACAGGGTTTGGAGACGGGTTGGCCTCAGCAGGGCACCCTCCAAAGCAGCCATTTTCTCCAGGGAAACTGGTCTGTCATCTGGAGATCAGTTGTAATTCCCGGAGACCTTCAGGCCTCACTTGAGGGTTGCCAGGTCCTTTACCTTTTGATACCATAGAGTTTTCAAGCCAGATGCTAGAGCGTCCCCCTGGCAACGTGCCCAGTGTGATGATGTCACCTCCGCGTGACATCATTGCACCAGGCATGTCGGCCAGATCCAGGCACTTTGGGGGCGGGGTTCCCCCACTGGCTGGATCCGGGCTGGCAGGTTGGGGGCCCTTTGAGCGGGCAAACCCCCGTCCCCCGGGGGGACCAGGCAGCCCTACCTCACTTGGAGGCTGGCAACGCTATTGGCTGCCCTGGGACTCGCATGGCACCTGCATCTCTCTCGCTCTCTCCTGGTGACCATTGTTCATCGGGACAGCTGAAGCTTTCTTAGTCCCACAACCGGGCCTGAATCACAGCTGAAATGGGTCCGGATTACTGGTCTCATCCCAGAAAGGTTATGGGGAGCACAGTGACATTGTAAGGGCTGTGTGGCACCACGGTTCCAATTCTGCTTGCAAATGAATGCAGAGGAATGACGGACTGAGCACCACAGCAAGGGTCCTGGCGGGCAAGTACCTCTGCAATGAGCTGAAAGCAGAATCATAACCAGGGCTTTTTTTGTAGAAAAAGCCCAGCAGGAACTCATTAGCATAATAGGCCACACCCAATAGCAGGAACTCATTAGCATAATAGGCCACACCCAATAGCAGGAACTCATTAGCATAATAGGCCACACCCAATAGCAGGAACTCATTAGCATAATAGGCCACACCCAATAGCAGGAACTCATTAGCATAATAGGCCACACCCAATAGCAGGAACTCATTAGCATAATAGGCCACACCCAATAGCAGGAACTCATTAGCATAATAGGCCACACCCAATAGCAGGAACTCATTAGCATAATAGGCCACACCCAACAGCAGAAACTCATGAGGATTGGCTACATTAGGGGGGTGTGGCCTAATATGCTAATGAGTTCCTGCTGGGCGTGGCAAACTTGGGAGCCAGCCGGAACTCCGTTCCTGTGCGTTCCTGCCCCAAAATAGCCCTGAAACTGTGGTTTTCACTCAGCCTTTAATACACCCCTGCTGCGTGTCCCCTGAAAGCCCTGCCATGCCTATCCCCCCCCGCCGCCGAGCACAGGAAGGTGCCTTAAGCTGAGTCAGACCGTTAATCTAGCAAGGTCCATATGGTCTATTTGGGCAGCAGCCAGGGACGCCAGCCTCCAGGTGGGGCCTGGGGATCCCCTGGAATGACAGCTCATCTCCAGACTACAGAGATCAGTCCCCCTGGAGAAAATGGATGCTTTGGAGGGCATACTCTGTGGCATTGTGCCCCACTGAGGCTCCCGTCCTCCCCAGGCTCCACCCACAAATCTCAGGGAGTTTCCTAAACTGGAGCTGGCAACTCTACCCCCCTGTCCCTCGCCGATGCCCAGGGGATACCTGACAGGAGCTCCTCCAACACCTGTGACCTGAGGATGTGCAGAACTGAATCTGAGAATGTCTGGAAGCAAAACAGATGTTCTGCCACGTAGCCACAGCCTAATGAACATTGACCCAGAAGTCCAGTTCAGTTCAATGGGTCCCACTCCCTTGAAGGAACGCTTAGAGCAGCGGTCTCTGGCTTCCCTCCACGTTTAATTAAAACAGGCCCTGTGATTACTTCCTGTGTTTTTCACCTCCTGGCCGCTGGTGTGCTCAGCCCTTTAATTACTTTAATCCCAAACTCTAAATCCTAATATTGTCTTGCCATTGATAGTATTTTTTAATATTATGTAATGAGCATGCTGGTGCAAAAATGTAAAACAAAAATGAAGTCAGCACAGATGTTGCCTCGAAAGAAAGAGAGGGAAAGGTTCCAGAGTCCCCAACCTTTTTGAGCCTGTGTGGGCTTCTTTGGAGTTCTGGCTCAGGGTGGTGGGCGCAACTAGAAAATGGCCGCCGTAGGAAGTGGAACTAGAGGCACAGAGGAAGGCCAAGTGCGAGGGACGAGAGGCGTCGTTTTTGAAAGCACATGAGGAGAAAGGCGTGTGAGAGAAAAATAAAAGTAGCACTGTGGTGGCAGCCACAGCTGAAAACAATGGTATTTTAATCTGCACAGCACAGCCAATCAGATCTTCAGTGGCCAGTCAGAAGCCCTGCTTGGCAGAAGCCTTCCATGGCCCCACCCACTTTCTAAAAACACTTGTGGGCCGCCTGGAAAGAGGTCAGTGGGCACCATGGTGGCCGTGGTCTCCACGTTGGGGACCCCTGGTCCTGGCAATGAAAGTGCAAAGGAAGGATTTTCTGAGGGACTGAGAAGGATCAAAGAGGAACAGTTGGGTGGGGAAAGTGACTTGTTTAGTGTTTTGGTCTGCAGGAATGGTCATGC